CCGTTACCGTCGAGATTTGCTGAAGATACCTATTCATTGCTACTGTCAGCCATACCTGCCCTATAAGGTTAGCTTCCATTCTGATTATAATCTCTAAGCGTAAAATCAAACGACGCCCTCTCGTTTACCTTTCCGTTTCTGTTGTAAATTCTCGTTACCTATTTGCTTGACAACGTAATGGTGATGCGAAGAGAAATTGCTTTTTCGTCACTTATGAGATGAGAAGATTAATGCAACTAGACAATCTATGGAAATCAACGAATAGTCATACAATGTAATAATTGATCATAGAATCCAGAATTTAAAGTCTCCTCTAATGAGATCCTCTAGCTTATAGCTATCGCTACCCTTCAAGAACTGAGAGCTCTCTTTCAACTGCCGTAGATTTCTGTGTTACCTATCAGGGCTTACGCCCTTTTGCCGAAGGACAACAAAAGCTAATACGTATCATACACATCGAGGTACGTAATACAAAATTCAACTTCTAAACTATTGCTCCTAATCTGATGTTAAAAGTAGTGGACAAAAAATGGGCGTATTTCGACGTCTGATCCTATTTCTCTCATCAAAAAATCACCAACTGGAGGTTGATTTCTCACGCACATGTTTTCGTTAATACAAACTCGAAATTTACCGACAGCAAATTGTTTTTAATCGTATTACAAAAGCCTCCTCTAGAACTGTCATGTTGTCCTTATCTGTAAGAAAAATCTACAGTTATATTAAAACCTTTTCATGAAAGATCGTTAATTAACCTAATTAATTGCCCAAGGGTCTAATTCAAGTGTTATTTACTTTTCCTATTGTTAGCCTTATATTGCATAACACGTTGAAAGGGAAAGTTGCTACAATGACAAAACATGAGATAAAAAACATTTTGCAAGAACCCTGAAAATCATTTGAATGATTCTATTTCATTCTCTAAGCGTTTAACGAAGTCTTTCAAGAAACACGCAGGAGTCCATTACTCTCAATTCGAAAACCTGTCACACCAAAATTTATATCCGAAAAGAAAGTTTCAATTCTACAGCTATCAATATCATCGTATTTTAAAGTTAGTGATCAAAACGTATTCGCCCTAAGTATTGTTATCCAAACAAGATAAAAGTACACCCTGCAATTTTATGCTGTATTGCAAATAAAGTGACACGATGGTCTTGATGTAAGTTGCAATTGAGAAAACGTGAGAAGTTGCGAGGATCATGAACATAGGCAACATCTCAGAGCACTTTTCTCTGAATATCACATCAGCTGTTTTAAAATTTGTCATTATTACTCGGTCATGAGAATAAATTCTCGCCATTGACGTCATAAGTCTTTTTTCTTCTCGAGTGAAATTCTTTCTTTTCTCCTCAAAGCAAAACATTTTTATGCAGTCGCGGTATTGTGTCCTTTCATAACCTGATTTTTGGCTGATAAAATTTAGCCCATAGAAATATTCAACTAATTATTAATTTCCAATCCTTAAAAGGATATGAAATTAAATGATTCTTTTCACTAGCATGGCTCAGATATCATATCTCTCCGCCTTCTGTAGACCAAACAGGGTATTCCTTTTCTTTGCCCAATTATACCTTAAAAATTCCATAAATTCCTAGCTTTAACAAAGTCTCTTTGTCAACTGTCTGTTATAAAAAGGCCAATCTGGTTAACTTTGAACTGGTGCCATTTGCTCTATGGCTTGAGATGAAAGACAAACCCTAATCTTCTCTCCAGCTCAGTTCCAGATAAAAACTTAGTCTCTTGAAAGTCTTACACTCGAGGTAAGTGCAACTTCACGGGTAAAATGTTGTTCATAGCTTTTTTTTGGGCTAGAAATTACGTGACAAGGTTTCAGCTCCGGCCTTGTATGTTCGTTTTATGAACCATTCGCATTGCGGGATCAATTGTAAGTTTTGTTTCTGGTTCGGTTAAATTTCTTCAGGAAACACAGAAATAACCCGTAATTGAAACAGGCTCAAGGTTCAAGTCCTTTTTTTCTTCCGTTGTCCTTTGCTTGGTAGACAGCATTTTAACCTCTCATGTACAACCCAGATTAGTCACACTTTAATAGAGTTTTATCTTGTCTAAATGTGATGACAAAATTTTTAGTTGAAAGAAATCGCACATTTTCCAACATTTGAATTTCGAAGTATTTCAAATAGCTTTTATGAATTTTATCCGGTCTTAGTTCAGTGTTTGTATAATTTTTCAGTGAAGGATACTTAGGCCTGAGGCAAATTTATAGAAATATGAGAGCCTTCTGTGAAAAATGATCACATTTTTGCATACCTATGATAGAAATAAAAAATTATGACCTTGTTTGTGCTGTATTAGAAATAGGAAAGTTGTGGAACTGATTCAGCGAATCTTTGTCAGGATATCGGTCACAGAAATTAAGACTTAAAGCTTTTTTTTTTTAACTTGAAGAGCTTAGTTCGTTCATACTTTAAAAATTTTTATGCTAGGAGCTGTTTCACTGCGAGCTAAATTTGAATAGATTGACTGGCTTGTCTAAACAGTCTAAAAGCTAAGGTTACGTATTGTTGAAAGAAAATCCTGACCGTGACTCGACAAGATGAGAAACCTACTATTATCCTTATCTTGATGTTTAAAAACTGAACAGAAGATGTTGTAAAATAGCGAGGTAGGCCAGTCCGCGCTTGCCTTCTTCCCGGAAGGAGTGCTATTTCACAAAAAACAGAAATTTCTGTTTACTGAAGACACATGCTTCAATCAGTAATATAAATGCTGAACGTGTGACACCATGAAGTTTGGATTGGGCAATTTGTAATCAGTTTCAAAGTTTTCGGCATTGAAAGTTTGGTAGTGTTCTATTCCTTTTCAAAAAGTGAGTCGTTATTAATGCTTGTTTTATGAAAAGACCTTATTTAAACAGGGTTATAGACTTCGGAGTTTTTATTTGTTAAATTTGGAAAATTGATTTGTGATCCAAGAATTCCAGTTGTATGTCGGTGTTCCAGAACTGTCCATTTTGCGCAATTAATGGAATATTTAGTTATGATCAAACCATTCGAAACTGATTTTCCATTTTTCCACAAAGATACCACCGTTAAGTTTCTCTGTTTTCAAGCCAAGAATTCAAATTGTTGATTGTACTTGTAATGACTGCAAGATTTAAGAAACCTTTACGGAGGTATCCCTTACAGCGTTTCTGAGTAATTTTCTTAAGAAAAATTTAAACCATTCGAAGGTGAATTACATAGTTGCATAAATTTGCTTTGGGGCATGATTTCTCACTTAAGAGAATCTTGTGACGTCAAAAATAGCATATAAAATGCGTTTACTCTATGCAAGAATAGGCAAAAAACGTCAGAAGAGGTGGAATCGAATTGTTGAAAGAGACACAACAAGTGATATTGCCTCAGACCATGATTAAGAAGCTAAGAAGAAGAAGCAATCCATGACGAACAAAATAAACGAAGCTTTTAATGAGAAATGTCCAACTTTTGTTCGCGAGAAATGATTGGCGAGATAGGTCAAGACAAGCGAAAATTAGCTAACAGTGATAGAACAAAGAAAGAAATTGTACGTAGAACCTATTAGAAGGACTTTACAAGCAACGGCAAAAAAACACACTTTCAATTGAACAACGCCCTGTTCCCAAGCTGCATTTTTATGACATTATGCATTTTTGAAAGCCGTTGATTAAGATGTTCCTTGAGATTTGTTAAGAACTACGCAATTGCTGTTTGAGATGGCAATTCAAGCACCTTTTAATAAAAGTTGTATTGTAAGTATTTTGCACACGCTGATAGCCGGGACAAGGTTGGCGCCAAACACTTTTTTCGCCCTCTCATCACTGAAGACCGCGTCGATTACATCACGCTGTTAATGACGGAAAATGGTCTGTGATACCGCGACTAGAACTCAATTAAATACGCGCTTTTGTGTTCATTTATAGTTACAGATCAGTAGTGAGTTTCTCATCGATGCACGAAAAGCTAATGATTTATTTGTGAAAAGTGAAATAGATACCTAAAGGCTCGGGGCTTCTTAGGCTTGTTATGCAAAATCAAGACGGTTCCTTTGACTGTTGACCTCACGACCTCAGTGTATTGAGTAAAGAGAGCCGACTAAATTAAAGTAAACTTCTAAGATGAACAGATTAACGCTTGAGAACCAATATTTTTACAAAACAAGTAACGATAGGCCTTTAAGAAGAGTCGGAGAGCATTTTACCATGGAAGAGTATTGAACACCCCGTCGGAAATCACTCGGTGCGATGCCAAAGTTCACGAAATACCAGCAACTATTGGCGTAGAAAAATTGCTGCGATCCCACCCTTATTTTGTTACCTTTTCATTGTAATAATTTTTAATGAGCTGCAAATGCAAACAAGACAACAACATCCATTTAACTTCGAGTTTCTAATGATTGTGGTGTGTTTGCTTTCTTTGACCCAACGAGATCGGCCCTTAGATTCTTTTAAAAATGTAAACTGTGTCAGTAAATTCACTAATCGGTATCTCGGCCTTGTACGTTTGGAATATGTTCAGAATTCTGTGGCAAACAAAAGCAGAAGAGCCTAATCAACTCGAATCCGCTCTATTCCCATTTTCCACTGACTCCAGCGTAGAGCTATACTCGCTTACAATTCCAGCATACCTCAGTCATTTACCGTCAGTCAGCTCTCCAGCCATGTTTCTTTTCACTTCACATTTTGAATTAAGAGGGTTCTTCTGTATATACTTAACCACTTTTAACAGAATCAGACATGAATAATTGCTTATTCATGCGAGCGTTTTTACCTAGACGGGTAATGTGAAAGACATGGTGTTGACTATTACACACAACTGATTTTTGGATTTCCTGGTTTTAAAAATGTGTCTTATTCATATCTGCGTCGCAGTTAACGCGGTTGGATTAAGATGTATTTTATACCTTTGCGTGTTAATACGTGTGCAATAATGACCCAGTTTTACCCGGGGCTATTTAATATGCCTCAAGTCCAATCAGGTGCTGTAGCAATCACTGAGATAGGCAAATTATTCCCATAGATACCGTCGGGCACAAGCGTCGGAAGAAAAACCCAGCGTGGCTAAAGAAAGATCTTTCCCTGCTGACAAATCAAAGGTGAGTTGCTTCTATGTTTGAAGGCCTGCCCTCTCACATTCTACAGTGTTGCTCTGTTAAGCACAACTGAGTTGGTTGATGATCCATGACAACTTTGATAGCAAACTTTAGTTAATGCGGCTAATAAACAGATGGGTGAAAATGATAATCATGCGTCAGAAATTGAACTACTGTTCAGCTGGTGTTAGAATGGTTCATTTAATCGCATGAAGTGAAGAGAGAACGGCTCTTGAACTTTGATAATTCAGTATTTGTCCAAGCTAGCTGTTGCTAAGTGTAATCTGCTTCAATTTGGATCAATTTTTCAGGGCACCATGTTGTGTCATTGGAATTGTGTCTGAAACGGGGCATCCAAGAGGCCAATAAATTTTCAAGTTATGTAATAAAAAAAGTTTGGCTTAAAGTATCGAAGACCTTTCAAATAGTGTAACTGTTTGGGAATAGTTTCTTTGTTACCAAAACTTTTATCGAAAAATTCAGTCCGGCCCCAAAATATCTGTCATCCTTGGTCACTGATAGATTTGAAGTCGCTTGCGACAGTTATTTGCCTTCGGTCATCAAATGGTCTTGCTATAAATTTCTTGGAATAACTTCTCATAATTTGAAGTCTACCCTTAAGTTTATTCTAAGATTTGCAGAGAGCCAGTCAGGATTACATCATTAACGGTTGAGAGGAAGTAGCAACTGAGAAAATCGGTTGACTGCATATTTATTCCCCTCCAAGACAAACAATCAGTAGGCGTTAAAATAATTGAATCGTACAATTTCTGTTCATCGAAGTGAATGAATGTTGTAGGAGGAGGACTCTCGAAATGATATCTGAAAGCTCACTATTAAGACACACTCACAGGAGAGAAGTCAGCCAATGTCGGTGTTTATTGTGTGCGCCACCCGCATTTTTAGAGCATTTTACACAGCTCTCAGTAGAGCGTGACTGAAACTCAGTACAATAGCTGATACGCTTTTTCGGCACTAGTCCTACAAAAGCCATCGATCGCCTTTTGCTACGCTTTTGACAATATACTGAGTACATTACCTAATTGATATGAATTTTTTTTTTTTGAGAAGAGAACAGCTTACACTTGAAAACAGTTTTTGCATAACGTTTATATCCTGAATGTTGATTTTAAGTACAAAACCGTAGTTCACATCCTCATCATTTGAAGTTTTTTTTTTGTGCCGTCAATAAACCCTCGTCATTATGAATATCATGATGAATTATTCTGAGGTGAGCTATATCATCTTTTTATAAACTAAATCAGTACAAGTTGGTATTCTAAGACAACTACAAATAGCCTCCTAAAAGCCTTAAGCTAACATTGATGTCAGCGTTGCTGCGGGTCAAAATGCTCTGTACCATATCTTTGACAGTAAGCTCAAGTTTTCACGTTTTGTTTTTTTTTTTTTTAGATAGTTGATCTAATGGACACTGATTAATCGCCATTACCGGCATAAGTTACCACCAAACAAAGCCATCAAAGATTTTATCTTTCGGTCGTTGAATAAAATTTACAAACTCTTCGTGTGTAGGTATTCAAATAAGGACACACCTTAGACCTTTATTGTCTGGGAGAGTCAGTTGTGGTTTTGCACACTCAGACAGAAGTTGATCCTTGTCTGTAAAAAGATAGATGAATTCAAATTAAAAGCTTAAATTCAAAGTATTTTTTCAGTTTGACAAAAAACTTCATCAAGGTTAGGTAAAATACAAGTCACTCTTTCTGAATCTCCTTCCTTGACGTCCGACTACGGCCTAAGGAAGTGTCAAGTTCCAGACAAACGAATCATAATTTATTCGGTACTAGAGCATTCCAAGAGTGAGCCTCTGCATCAAAATGAGCTGATTTTCTAGAAGTCTCGTTAAGTACTTGTGATAGACAGATAGTTTTCGAGCTACAGTGTAACAGCATAGACTGAAGAGCAGTGAATTCTAATGCATTTTTTGAAAATTGAGTTGGGCGACGGAAAATAAAATAACGACGGTACTCTCTAAGTTTTCTCTCTTTTCATCTATTTTCTGTTCGTATTTTTTTTCCTCTTAGCAAACGAGGATTTATTATTGTAATAAATAATGATATTTATTGTAACTTACGTGATGCATCCTAATATTTTTATCAAATTCCAAACTTTGTTTTAATTTCTAAATCCGTTAAAGATGGCACTTAATGAAGAATGAAGTAGCTGATCTAAAACATACTAGTATGCAAACACGTAATGTTAAAGTGCGTGACATTTGAGTAACATCGGGCCAAATTCTGGCGCGTTATGAGTAATTGACATGCGCAAACTTCGCAGGGGTGTGTTAATCAAATCTAATCTAAAGCGCGGCCTGCTTCAGGTGAGGTACCATTTCCTTAGCGGCTGCAAATCTGGAATGTGTGAAGTTTGAAACTTGGTCACTTTTCTCTCTTATATTTTTTCTTCCTAACTCAAACTAAAGTTCCTTTTACCTTTCAAAAAGGAACGCAGCTTTAATATTTCTATCAGATCCGCAAATTGCAGATGAACGAGGAGACTTTCATTGGCGTTACACAACAGATACATAAAGTAAAACTTTCTAGGCCGTCACTAATTATAGGTTATGAGTTACTTCTTTTTGTCTTCATTGCTTCTTGACTTAAAAAGCATTGGTTAAAATGATTTGACGAATCCATCTGTGTCGCCAGTATCTGCTTCTCGAAGGCTCTAAAACACCGATCTATTTTATGGAATTGTCACGACCGACTTTGTTAGTAATATAAGTGCACCCATACGAAATACTGCAGCAGCAAAATGTGCGCTTCTAACTAACCGGAAAGGTCTTGCGTAGATGCTTATAAAAACAATTTTCTGAAAGGAAGAATATTGGCCATCTCAACCTCAAAAGAAATAAGCCACATAACAATCACGACAAAGACGCGCCTGTCACAAAAATGTGATTTTACGAGAAATCTGAAGGAATTTTGCCAATTTTTCTTCTCGGTGCCCCAGCAATCGTGTCAGTTTTTATCATTTCTCTAAAGAAACACGTTCTCAGCTTTGGGAAAGGACTGAAACACAAGCAATGATTTTTCAAAAGTTGAGTCATCCAACCCCAGTCACTGATTTCGAATGCCAAAATTGTCAACACTGAACTGACAAGTTTGCCTTTTTCAATAATCCGGAACATTTCGCTCAATTCGGAACATGCTTACATCTTGCAAGTTGTCACACATGCCGAGGGTTCAAGAAACTGCTTATGTTTTTCATTTCTCGGCAACAAAATGTGGACTGTGTGTCTATGGGGTAGTTCTTTGTGGACTCATGTGTGTCTATGGCGTAGCTCTAATTACTTATTAGAAGCGCTACACCAACTAGAAAGAAGTAAGTCATTAGCTGAAGCAACATTGCAACATCCAAATTCCGTCTCTATGGAAACGACCCAAATTAAATATATCAGAATCAGAAATATTGATTAATAGTGAGACACGTCAGGGCTCACGCACGTGAACCGAGGGGATACCAGAAAAGAGTCCTTATTAAACAAGTGTACAAAGACCCGCCATGTCTTTCCGATGAAACCGAGGAAAGTTTAATGTAAACGAAGAACTGACTCCCGTGTAATGTGTTGGCCTAGCAAGCTGACCCCGACTAACTTCACATTTATTTGTGCTTGCATGGAGTTTTGAATCTGGTAAACCAGGTCCCAGCTGGCAATTGCATTGGAAGAGTAGACAGCTCAACCACTTCTAAATTGAAAAATCGAGATGCCAATGCCTGTAATTGACTTTTCCAGCCTCGCATTTATCATTGCTCGAGATGTGGAGTAAAAGGTCAACAAATCGCTCACCTCGTTTTATCTAAAAGGCCACATGTATGTTTTTTCATTGAAATAATCTTTTGCAACATTATTCCTAATTTTAAGGTTTCAGTTTTGACAAAGCATAAAAATTGGTTTTTAATAGAAAATTATTTTTCATTGAAAGCTAAATTTATATTTGCAGCATGCAAACCATAGTAGAAATAAGAAAGAAAATACCAGTTTCAATGAATTCATGACTAAAAGAATCTTTGAATATTCGTTGTACAAAATAAGGAACATTACTTTTAGATTTGTGCCAATAGGAAAGTGCTTGAAATATTTCAGTAACGCTCGTATTCCTTACATTTCTGCTTAGAGGGATCGGATTTCTCTTGTACGATCAGATTCTAAGCAATTTGATAAGGAACCCAGTTGCAGTCCTCAACTAACATGACAGGCGAATTGTTCCATGTCGGTCACGCTATATATACGATGAAATCTTCCATGAGAGACCGCTTACACTCTTTTAAGGTCATCATGGAAAAGTTTTAAGCGATCTAATTCGTTTTACTTATGTTAGGAAGTGCTTACAAAGTGCCGGCTAAAGGGAAATTCGCCTAGCATAGCTTAAAATCAAAGATACTCTGGCGCCAATAACAGGTGAACGAGTGACACAATTGTAAATATATGTAGGTTATTTACAAAGGCTAAAAATGGAATTGTGAATTGAGGAAATTGGTTCACAAAACACGTCACCACAGATGAAGGACGAAGTTTAGTTTTAATCCGAAATTGAAATTCTCCTTGGCTCCGTCTTTTAAGTACAAAAGGTTCCCGATACAAACCATTTTTAGTAAAATTTATTCACATATTCAATTCATGAGTGACATTGGAACACGATGGCATTGAACTAAAAATACACGAAGAAATCGACTGAAAAAAAAGGTCGATCTCTCGCTCGAGATTGGCCTGTATTTCACGACCAAGGTGTATCAGAAATAAATCGAATTTACCCGAATTAGCTGCGACATGTGGTGTATAAAATTACGAGCAACTGTGCCACAGCTGTGTTAGCGCTGGGTCATCTCTGCCACAAGCCTAAATTGAGAACTTGAAGATGAGGTAGATGCATTAATTTCTCCAGTCCAGCTTTAGTGACTCTAGTACAGCCATAAAGATCAATGTTCGTTATACTAGTTAAGTTTTCGGCGATAGAAACCAAGCTTGCGTCCGTGATTTGCGTGCATTGGCCAATATTCAAAACGCGAAGGTCGTGTAGACTCCGCGCAGCCTTGCACAGACCATCGTCTGTAATATGGCAAGAATTCAAACCTAAATTTTTCAAATGATGAAGTCCATTTGATATATGATTCAGTGCTGCATCTCCCACTTTTTCGCAAAAGCTCACATCTAGGTACGTTAAATTAAGGCCTCCTACTGCCAAATGTGCTATTCCCTCGTCGCCAATACCTTCACAAGATCGAAGGTTCAATTCACGAAGGCTTCGCAGACCAGCTAAATGAGAAAGTCCGCTTTCCGTAATTCCACAACAGAAGCTTAAATTGATGGACTCTAAATGCACTAGTCCTTTAGCTATGTTGCTTAGTGCGTTATCGGTGATCTTTTGACAGTCTTGTAAACACAAAGTAGTTAAATTCTTGTTTCCGCGCGCTGAACTCGCATTCAATCCTGCGAGATGTGCGATGCCGGTGTCCGAAATATGTCGGCAGCTTCGAAGATTCAAGTATTTTAACTTCGGTAAGCCCCATGCGCAAAGAAGTAGTCCTGTGTTCGTTATATTACAACATCCAGCGAGATCCAACACCTCTAAATTGCTCAAAAATCGAGCGATTCGTCCAAGACTTGTGTCGGTGATTTGTTTGCACAAACTTAGATTTAACACTGTCAGAGACGAGAGATCTTTAACGAACGCATGCCCAATTCCAATATCCGTCACATTATAGCATCCTTTCAGATTTAAGCTTTCTATATTCGGTAGATTTTGTATAACGTAGTTCAAGCTCTTTTTAAGACTCAGTATACGGATTTTTCGAATACCACGTTTCGCTAGCGAAGGAAATAGATATGGATTTGACCTCCTCAAATGTAGTCTTGCTTGAACACCGCGCCATACCAAACGGTTGTAAGCTGCGTCTCTCCATTTTGAGCACACTTGGGAAACTCTTCCCTTATCCCTTATGTCCAAATAACTAAAAATAATGGCCAAAATCTCTGGGAAAAGGCAGTGGATCGTAGCATTGCTCTTCCCTTTCATGTCGCTCGAATTGCGTTCAACAAAGCACCATTGGAAATCGATCAGGCATTTCAATACACTTGGGACCTTTTGTTTAGCTTGACCACGTGATCGCTTGCATCCTCGCTGAATGGCTTTTACAAACAATAGTTTGATCGACGCTCACAGTTTGAGCAAAAGTGTGGTGCAAGCAAATTTATTTTATAGTTTCAAATAACAAAAGTTTCTACGCTTGAAAAACTTTTCGACAAATGAAGACAAAACGTAAATCTTACATAATGATACTGCTGTTTTTCCAAGGCAAGCCAGAGATTAAAGATTCTACTGGAGCGCCAACAAGATTCTTTTCTTGTTTTCTTCAAATGTTCGCAGTAAAGTAATTCTAGTTATATCACGAAAACGTTTTGCACTAATGCAACCTGTCGCTAATGAAAAGAATAATTTTAAATTCAAATCGGATACCTGACAATGAAGCCTTCGATTTTCGGTTTTCAGTTTTGAGATGAAAAATTTACCAAATTATACTGTAGCAAACTATCAAAGCAATTTTTTAGCATGTCAAGCACCCATGCCTTGAACCACATCACAAGCTAACTGCATAATTGCCTTAATTGCATTTAAAAATAGACTGTGGTTATGCCTTGCTCCGACAGAATTAAAAATCATGGTTTAACAATGCTCGACCCACCATAATTCACTAATCAAAATGAAACATTCCCGGTACTTGCGAACAAAGAAGTTGTTTTCTAATTGTGTTCTTATCTTTATAACAAAAAGAAATCTGCAAAATTGACTCTTTTCCAGACTTTTCCTACAGATTTTAGGTTCGGATTACACACGGCTAATCGACTTATATTTATCTCATAAGAATGAAAATTAGGCATTTTCTATTTGACCATGCAGTGTTTCGTCCATTTTAAGTGTGTTTTTTCAGGGTTACTTATCTGTTCAATGATATTTCTTTGAGTTAAGCGGTGTGGATTTATTGTGATTGTGAGAGTAGGTTTTTTTAGCTGCATTTGCTTTGTTCACCTGATATCCCACTGGAAAGCTCAAACATTGCATGTAAGAAAAGCTTCTATATTGCGTTTGAATTAAAATAATTGTTTTATATTGCCCACTAAGCTGACGTCATTGTACCAATATTTTCTATACTAGAGGTAACTCAACATAAGGGCATAAATTTTTTCGACGCGTCACACCAACTGGATATAGTTTACTCTCTCTCGCCAGTTTCGGGTTAACTTACCCTGATCGCCTTTGAAGGTTCAAAACAAGGACCACCTTGGTACGAAACTTAATATCCATTTACAATTCGAAGCAGACATATTGATAGACTCCTTTCCTATCTGGCTGACTTTTGGTGGCCCGAGAGCTTAGACCTCCTAATACTTCTAATCCTCAATAAGCCAATAATTGACAGATCAAACCGGCTTAGTGCTATGCAACGATAATCAGTGACCTAAATATAAAGCTTTTTTTGCTTGAGAATTCTCTGTAGCTCAGTGCGCAAAAAATAACAACCAGAAAATAGAGGTCCCCACCCCCACTCCCTGCCGCCGAGTCCTCACATAGGACTAACATCAGCCTCCTTTCCCCGTGACAGATGTTCTACATCCTCCTTTACTCATAATTACAATAATGATAATAATAATAATGATAATAATAATAATATAATAATAATAATAACGGTGATACTAATGATAATGGCAATGATAGTGATGATAACAATAAAAATGATAAAACTAGTAAATGGTGATAATGATAATACCGACAATAAAATTGGTAATTATAGAATTAATAATGATGATAATAGACCTACCATATCAGTTTTGGATTGTAATTTTTTTTTTGTTTTTTCTCACCTTTCTTTCCTCAGTATTCCGCTGACTCAATAGATTTTCTTTTACCGTCCATTTCATAAAAAATTAACTCATTTTTCATTCACTTATGTACTCATTTATCATTTATTTACTTATCTATTTATTCATTTATCTTTCAATTCAAATATCTTTTTTCTGTCCAGTTATATATTTTAATGGTGCCTCTTACCCATTTAACTCCCAGAAGTAATTTCCGTGTGGGGCGTGACTGGTCCAGCGGTCAGTGTGCTGGACTCTGGGTCGGATGGCCCGGGTTCAAGTCCTGGCTGGGGCACGACGTTGTGTCCTTAAGCAAGTCGCTTCACTCGCATTGCTTCGTCTTCTCCAATAAGAAATTAAAAATAGGAGGCGTTAATTTCCTACTCACGAGATTATTGAGTGATGGATGTCCTCCCCTTAGGTGGGATGGGTGGGAAGGTGAGATCGTTACATGGACTGAAGCGGCTGCCAGAGACGCCTGATAAAAAAAAAAATGGTGACGTCAGATCTCAACCTTAACAACAATATGTAAAGCGCTCTTGATCAGCACATTTAAATAAAGGCTATATAAATTGGTAAATGATTATCATTAGCCTCTCCTGTAATATCTATGCATTGCTTGATCTTCAGACACAAAATTCTCGAAACTAATTTCCAAGGCAATACGTATGATGCACGATCCTCGCTAAATTCCGAGGCTGAATATTTAGCAGCTAGAAGGAAGAATTAAGAATTACATCATGGGAGTAAAAGGGTTGAAAAAAAAGATTCACTATAATCGCAAAATTGCAACTTGTAACACGTAACGATAACGTCCTGCTGACAAGGTATTAGTTTCACCATGTGTCGCATGGATTGAATTTCTGTAATAAATCAAAAAAAGTCCACGAGAAATTCTTTTCAGTACTGCACGTAATGTAATTGCTAAGTAATTAAATAAGTCATCGCCTGAAAACTTGTGCGTAGAGATTTCAAACCACTTTTCATAAAATTGCCATATGCTTCGAGTTTAAAACAATTAGCACCCAGCTGGACGTTTTCGGAACGTCAAAGAACAAAGAAAACACGCGCTGAACACTGAATGAACGCCGGCGTCGAGTCCCTGCACCGCTCACTGCCTCTGGTTGTCTCAGTTTATTTTAAACTTTTTTTTTTTTTTTTTTTTGCAAAGACCAGGATAAAGACTTTTTTACTTATTTATTTCTAATACCCGCCAAGACTAGCTAATGCTATATGCGGGTTGTGTAAATTTACTTGTAATATTCTGTAAAATAATGATAAACAACAACAACGATAAAGACGTCTCGTGATATTTAAAATGATTTCCTGGATTTATTTGTTGGTTAGAAACAAGCTATAGCTTCAACCTCAGCAAATGACGTCTTCTGGAATAAAGTCAGAAGCGATTTGCTTCCTCACTTTTCACAGAAGAGTTTAAGATGCTGAAGTATGTCGCCCAAGGATGAAAATGAACATTCTGATGAGTTATATAAGATCTCTACAATTTTGCCGGCTAACTCAATGGATAGATTTAGGTTTCGATCAGTTCTATACACAGAATTGGAACGAACTCTACAAAGGATCGATTTTTCTGTTTTCTCTTCGTCTGATTCGAAGAACCGAGTCCTTTTCTGCGACTTTTTTTGTTTACCTAAGTAATACAAATAACATCAAGTTCGTGCTTTAACTGATCGGCTAGTATTAGTGTGGTTTTTATAATTGCTGAATGTTTCTACCCCTATTATTTTTGTTTGACTTTATTTCTTACATCAATAGATAAGAAAACTTGTGTTCCAACCGAGATCCCGAGATCCTGGTTTACAAAATTACGTAACTAGGAGAAGTCTCTAACCTGACCATCAGTCACGGAACTTAGTAATAGTAATAGTAATAGTAATCAAAGTTTAATGTCTTTACGTGAGGCATGGTTACCCATATTGCCCGAGCCAGAGGCTCATGTATGAAACGCAAGACAACAACCCACCCATCCCATCCCAGGAGAGGACATCCATCACACAGTAATCTCGTGCATGGGAAATTAACGTCTTGCTAAATTAATTTAAGCCTATAGCTTGGATAACATAGCTAGTCCTTCTAGACCTAACGGCTTCGTAAGGCATTTATACCTTTAATACTAAAACAATGCTACAAGGGTCCTACAACCAGTCTGGGAAGCATCACTACTACTTTGGCGGTCTTATCGAGTCTTAGATCTGAGGTAGATCAAGCATAGTAGTTTTACTCCGACATCTTGAAGGGGCTCTGGTGCAATAAACATGATAGCTATCAGTTTTGAAAGTCAAATTTACAAAAATTGTTCCAAATATCCAATACTTGAAAATCTGTGACTAGATGCTGAGCAGTTTGGATAAGACTGTAAATTTTTCATTCTCATGGAACGATCGTTTCATTAAGTCTGAGTCAAACTTTTATAATTAAATGTGGGACGTTTATCCTCAAATAAATGAATTCTATCGGCAGTCATGTCTTAGCAATCGGTGCTCAATAACAACAATGTACAGAAGGTCCGAAGAAATAAATGCTTGTCCTTGCTTTAATCATAGCTCATTTAAAAATACGCAACAGAACTGACTCACTTCAACTCAACTCAATCGATTTTTTTAGCGTTTAAGTTGTAGATGGGAGGGCCATGGCGTGGAGAACACTTCCCCAGTGACGAGGCAAAATATCGTAACTAATAAGGAATTCAGCAGGTTCGAGCAATAACTCCCTCATCTCAAACTGGGAATGATTTTGCATTAAAAAAAACAGCTGTTTGTACCTTGACTTAATATTCATAGTATTTATATAGATATATATATCCTTTACAAACTTGTTTCTACCACTTTTGGTTTACTCGTCTAAGTCTGTTTCTGTTATCTAGTTCAGTTGAATTGTTATCTTTACTCGGTTGAACGTGGTATTCAAATTTCCCACAGCTGAACTTATTCACTCCTTGCATCGACTGAAAGTCGCCAAAAGAATTAATGCTTTGCTTGAATAATTTTCACCTAAAATTTTTTATGTGTTCAAGGAATGCAAGATATCTTCTTACGCCTTTTTACAAATGTTACTTTGGCGCATTCCACAATGATATGAAATCTCTAAGGGAAACTCTGCTTGCCCAGGGTCTGTTATCAGGTTATCAGCATACGTTATTGACCGATTGCCCCCGAATTGTTGACATAATCTTGAATTTTTTGACATGAAGGTCTCCAAGACTCTTTTTATTCATTTTTGGTTATGCCGTCTTGAAATTTCATACTAAAAGAGATATCCTAAATATTCGGAGAGTCTTTTCTGTCACTGATTGGGAAGTCTCTTACGGATTATAGAACAAAATATGACAGTATATTTCGAAAGAAACCTGAACTATCGACATTGATCCATGTTGTTCAACCAGGTTACATAAAATTTTTGACAACTTCATCGTTCTCTTGTAATGAAATATAACTGCCAGAGCTGTATTATTAGTTGTTTCAATCTATTGACCTTTGAGGCAACCTTAACACGACACTGGCCCATGTACGTTGTTCGCATTTAAAGATAAGGATTGAAAGGAACCAATCTACAAAAATTAAGAAGGGTTTTAACCCTTCTCAGTTTCTCGGAAAGTCCCCTGTACGCCTAGGTGGAGGGTGTGGACAATTAAAATTTCATGACAAATCAATTTTTGAAGCTGCAATTTCTACGACTGATTCAAGGATCATGTCAAATGGCAAGAACTCTAGCAGAATTAACTTAGGAGTATTACCCCCCACCAAAGAACGGATTGTTAATATTTTTTTTGACAGATCCACTTTTCAAGTTTTGATTTAATGCTCTGACTGATTCATTGAAATAACGGCTTTTAATGTCAAGCTAGGAAAAACGCACTCGCTCTTTTTTTTAATTTTTTTTTTATTTTTCAATCTGACTGTTCCTTGATCTTGGGACGCGGTCTGTTGGATACGGGAGTTCTTGTTTGAATGCAAAAGTTTACTGGCTTTTATTTCGTTAGCACATATGAATGTTCTCTTCTGGGGAAAGATAGATTGCCCTGTTAGATAGAAAGAGTTAAATTCGTAGAAATCACTTATCCCTCGGGGTATCAGTTTAGTCTAATTAGTTGTTGATGAAGAAGCAGAGCAGAACAAATCTACGCTATTCCCCCGAAAAAAGCATGCGGCTTTATGATGGTGTAACATCGGACTAGCTATGTGTTTTCTTAAACCAATTGAATCTAGACTCGCGTTCCGAAATATCTTGTAGTGGTCACATTTATTAGTTCAAACTTTCAGTGATCCAAAGTGAATCTTAAATACTTCCAATAACTACTGGTCTTGAGAACAGGTGAAAAGGATAAAGCGATATGCACTTCAAAAAAAAAAAGTCGTCATTGCATTTTTTTTTTTTTTTTCAGTATAAAAAATGCCTCTCGAGTGGTGAATGAGAACTAAGATTTCGGGGTTGGCATGGCCCGGTGGCGTTGGTGACGCTTAATATGAGTAATTACTTACCGATACGTCTGTAAGTCTGGTATCATATGGAATGCGTCGTTTCGGGGTGGGCATTGCCTAAAGGCTAGTACCACTGCGGCGGTATGAGACTGTTATTCGGACCTCAAGCAGAGCTGCAAATTTTTCTATTACCGAAAAGGTTTACCCGTGTTAACAGCCGGGAAGTGGAGGAATCTTTTAAGAGGAGTTGATAAATCTCCTCCTACACAATGTATGTTCACTCCTCATAAGTTATTCATAAGCTTGTTCTAATAACTTCTGATCTGCTTTTTGGTCATCCACTTGACCTTGATAAAGTTGATTTGATGACTTGGAAGTTTTCAAACTCCTGCTTTAGACACTATTAATAACCTCGTAAAGTCAAAGGCCTCTCTCATTAGTTTGATAATATTCTGATATTCGCTCTCAGCGAGATGATGCCGAGTGAAATCCGAGGACAATGAATATTTCAAAGCGCACAAACGAGTTCTGTTTAGCCAGTTGAACATACCCAAGATAACGATTTGTTTTTCAGCTTGTTTTGTATCGCATTACTATCAAATTTGGAGTAAAAATTGTTATAAATCAAAACAGATTTAGGGTAGATGTTGACTGAAAACGAACCGAAGTTGCATACCCTCACGATCGCCAGTTTCTCGCGTGCCGAGCGCCATTAGATAGAAAACGTTTTTAGTTGTGATTGGCGTCCAACGCACGAGAACCCTGAAAGGCAGCTAGCAAAAGATGTGAGCTTTCAACAAACAGTGTCATCTGACTACCTCCCAAAACTCTCGAGGAATGTCGGTCTATTCACCGGATCACGACAGTAAGGTCACAAACCTGGTATGACATTCTTAATTTTCGTGCACGGCAGGAAATTATAAGACCGTAACAATCTAAAAATTCCAATAAATGACTGTGCGTCTCATCTCCGAGTGCTAATCTTTTCCTTTCGAGAGTTTTAATGAACGTCCACTCGAAGCCAGATGAAAGCTGCCGTACATGTGTGACAAACACGGTTGTACATATTCGTGACAAATCGTTCATAGAACTAAACAATGAAATTTTCTTTCAACCTGGACCACTTAGTCGCATTTCAAACTTATTACGCGTGTGATCTTGAAGGTCAATTAGAGAAATTAGGGTTTTGAAACCTGAATGGCGTGTCTTTGAGACTTTTTATTCCTTCTGGGAATTTTTTCCTGTGTGTTTTTCATTTGTTTCATTATTGACGAGTGGCATCTGTCGAGTCCATGTTTGCTCAATATTACACTGCATTATCAGAAAGTCAAACAATCTATTGCCACTCACTGAAATCCAACTCTTTTCTGTGGTGACATATCCATCAGTTGACGAGGTCATCCTTAAACTGGAAATATTTCCGGTATAAAAGCCCTCTGGCTGATAGACGCCAATTTTATTCTGGAATCTCCGAGACAGAGTCCATAGAAATCGTGTCTTTTGCGTTTAACTTCTTACATCTGTAATCAATAAGTTCGACGAGCTTCTAAATTCAAACAGGATTGGATTTAGTCCCTCTCGACCAATCAAGAGAAGCAAAATGGTATTATAGGAAGCGGTTCGGCTTTATTTGAGTGCTAACTGCATGTGCTAAAGAGATTAGTATAAAGCAGCAAGCGTGAAGTAATTGCAGTGAGTGCGAGCTTTGACAAGCTTTTGTCTCTTTCAGAACTTCCTCGACTTCGCAATGAGGGTGCGCCAACGAGTCCGTCAAGTTCCACTAATCCTGTGCTTTTTGCTCCTCACATCGTTCTTTCAAGTTGGACAGAGTCTATGGTGAGTTACAAATCGCTTATCACCTCACTAGCACCCACTTTGTTTTTATTCAGGAGTCCGTTTTCCTTCCTAGACATTTTATGTTTGTTTTTGGTTTACACAACAGCATCTGGAAGAAATCCGAAGAAATACATCGGTCCCGTCGAAGTGAAGTGTTAGCCTAAATTCTTAATACTTGCTGTTAGTAAGGATGTGTCAAGAGCTGCTCTTAAAGAGGAATTTGGCTAACAGTCAATCAACCGCTCACTGCCACTAAAAATTGAAGTGAAATTTACTTCTAAGGGTATACTGGATGCCACTGTAAGACTAGTGCATCGGTTCTTTGGCAGAGCGCTAGTAGTTTTATAATCCCTTCGATAGCGATTACTCGTAAATTGTTAACCAAACATCTCCTCTGTTTTGTGTTTAAACAGGCCGCTTAGTATTCCACACCAGGCGTTTATTGTAGGCTTCGTCGGTCAGCCTTGCCATCATATGGGATTGTCCGACGATCAGAAACAAATATGTATGAGCGAGGCCAATCGGGAGCTTTTACCCACCATAAGATATGGTGCAAGTTTGGCATACAAACAGTGTCAGTACCAGTTTAAGTATCGCCGTTGGAACTGCTCTGTGCCTGAAAAAGACAGCAATTCCCTGTTTCGCCGAATAACGGGGAAAGGCAAGTATTTGTTACCAGCACTCAGTCTTGTTCTGTATCGTGTTCTGATCTCAGCCTTGATTGTTTGTGTACATCTCGTCAAAACACTGCCATTTGCTATTCTTTCGAACGACATCTGGTTCAGTGATTATGACAGAGAATGTTTGTTTGTACAAGAAAGCATGCTTAAAAACGTGCTCTTGTTGCTCAGCATCAACTCAGCCAGTGGCATAATTAACAGCTCTGCAAGAATCCTGGCTATTTTCAAAAACGTACTTGAAGATGAAATATTCTCTCTGTTAGATAAAAGGGCCGCTTGAGTAGGATGTGGCGAGAATATTAAGAAAAGCTCTCAACAGATATTCAGTCGGTTTTATCCGAAAACATTGGAAGATACCTTGTTTTCTAAATTATTAACGCTTTCAAGAGGAATTCTAGCATTTATAGATGTAAAACGGTTACTTAAAGTTATGAAAGATTTTAGTCATAGTTCAGAGCAGTTACGCATTCATTTGTTTGCTAAGCAATATCGCTGCGGTTTCATTTGTCAGGATATCATAATCGTTCATGTCAAGATATATCTCAGATGTCCACTTTGGTGCTTGTGGTCTCCGGCGCGAAAAATTAAAAACACTTGAGGTTTCCTCCAGTCTAAAAACGAAGAGCATCGAGTAGAAAATATACTTGGACTTCTTACATAGTTTTAAATGACCCTAGACTTCAAGACATGATAGTGACATCTGGAGGGTCAAGCTTTGCACGAACAAAACACACGAGTATGTTTGAAACCTTCTTTCCTTCAACTAGACATCAAATTGTCATCCTGTTAATTCAAGGAAGACAGGAATTGTTAAGAACGGACTTGAATACGTTTCAGTCACTGATTCGTCAAAAGGGCCATGGAAGCCGATATCAATGAATAGTGTTCTCTCAAGAGTGTCTCTCCAATCTGTCTCCTTTCTCCACTGAGTTATCTTAGTCAATACACAACAGTTTCGATCACTTAGTTGAAGTTTTTCTTTGTCTGTAGTGATGATACGGAAGCATTCAAGATCACTGAGGTCCTTTCGTCATTCACTTCCATGAAGGGTATTTTAGTTTTACAGAGTTCATCTTCTCTTGAGAAGAAAACGTTGGATTGAGAACGAAACTGGGGCTGTTTGCTCTTTTAGGCCATCTTCATGTCCTTTTGTACCTTTCCTTCTCAATTGTCAGTCCTAAGAAAAAACCAAAATATGACAAAAAGAGCTTTTCTAACTCAATAAAAAATCTTACAATATCGATTAAAGTTGGCAATTAGAGACGAATCTCCTCTGGAAACATTGAAAAACTTTTACACATCAGTTCATTCAGAGAAGTTCCGTGGAGCCTCTTTAAAGAATTACAGTAGTCTCAGACATTTTGAAACGTAATTTTTGATTCAAAAACGTTTTATATTTTGAAATTATCAACTGTTATGGATTTGTTACTAAATGGACGTGTGAAAAGAACGAAAAGTGTGCTTAAGGCATCTTTAATTGTCTTTTAAACGTCGATAATGTTAACGCCAACATTATGAATATACATTTAATTAAATTTTACTCCCTAGTGCCTCTAGGGGGGGTTGTCAATAACATTGATCAAGAGATACATCATTTCAGGATTCTTATGGATATTGACCTAATTTTATCCACTGTTGTCAACTTATCCTCAAATGTCAACAAATCTTCGACTCTTAAAAGTTAGAAGAATAAAATGCTACTCCCCAGTGCAGAAGGAACTTTTAAGCCAGTGGCTGCCTTGCTTTGTTTGAAAAAATTGCCTGATGGAAACCAGATTTTCCTTCGTGAATACATTTCTAGAGAGCAGCTCGATTACTCATCGCTTCGCATCCACGGCGTGCATGGCTTCTTTAGAGTGTTCAAGCGCAAAAGTTAAGTTGCCTTTTGGAGATAAACGTACACCCAAAGAGTAGTATTCTTGAACAATTTCAATTAGCTAAATTCCTATATCATAAATTGATATCAATAGATTTCCTTAGACTCGTATTGATAGGTGTGTTTAGAAAGGATCTCCATCATCAGAAGAAATGGCATTTAGTGATAGTTGTAACAGTAACAGTAGCAGTGGCAGTGTGGGGAGTTACGGTGGGAATTGCAGTGGCAAAAGCAATGGTAGAGATAGTCTAGCACCGGCTTACACTCCAGTTGCGGGCATTAGTTTACAATCCTGCTTCCTCGTTAACAAGAAGAAATGATATCACGCAGAATCAGTCAATATCACGATATGGAAATTAACTTATATGACCTAAAAAGCCCATTTCTTGTTTACAATTTAACAAAATGCGATTCAGTTGTTTGGAGCAGATCATTCATTGACATTGTGATCTGGTGGATGATTTCAGGTACGAAAGAGGCGGCCTTTACATATGCTATATCAGCCGCTGGCGTGTTGCACTCGATCGCCCGATCATGCGTAGAGGGAAACCTCAGTATGTGTGGCTGTAGCCGGGAAAGAAGGCCAAAAGACTTAAACAGCAACTATCAGTGGGGTGGATGTGGAGACAACATAGAGTATGGCGTCAAGTTCGCAAAGAAATTCATGAAAGCTGGTGAAAGCTCTACTGAACCAAAGGACACGCGTGAATTAGAGAGGAAGTTGATGAATCTTCATAACAATGAGGTTGGAATACAGGTGAGAAAGCTCAGTTCGCCGATCAGAACTCATTTTTGGTGTTGATTCCTGCAGTTTGGATGTCCAAGTGGTTGGCTTTTCGAGTTTAAACATCCAGAAACCAAATCCTGGGCGAACTCTATTCACACCAAATTTTGTTTTCAGCATCACCCACTCGGGCGACATGTCCTCATTAAGAATGATCATTGCTCACTGAAATTGCTTTATTTGACTTCTGAATCTTAGCCAGAAGCTGAGCTGTGGTTTACACTATTTTCTTTTTAATACCGAAGAAAAATATAGTCGCTAAATATACAAATTCGTGTAAAGGATCCGCATTAGTTAGCACATTGTTTGAGTTTAACATCTTCACTAACGTTTCAAAATTCAGTTTCATCTTCTGAGTTTTTCAGTGGAACAAACCATAAAGTGTGGTGCATCGATCACTTTTAAAGTGACACAGTTCAACCATATCTGTTCGCTTGCCAAAACATTGAAAGATGATCGGGAGGAAAGAGTATGAGATGAAAAATTGACCCTCGCCATCTATCACTGGAAATGTGGCATCCTTCCAGCATAGATCAATATACCTGTCTCTTCAATTCAGTAGTTTGGAATAGAAACAACTGATTAACAGCTCAACGTGATTTCCTTAACTTTGAAACCCCACGGGCATCTCTGCCCTAAATTGAAATCAAATCTACATCAAAAAGCCAAAAATAACGGCGGAACTCTCTGTAGAGTAGGATCGCCTGATTACCGCCGCCTTTTTGCGGTTTACTTACCGTCTTAGGCACAAGGCCGGCGACTAAGATAGTGAATTACTTAGACGGATGCAAATATACACAGGAGCACCACAAACGCGCAGAAATTTCGAACGATGTGCAGAGCAACGATGTGTAGGTCAATTATTCACCCTATTCAGACATCTTTCTTACATTGGAAAATTTATCCACAAATTAATCATGCTGTCAGGCCTTATTTTGCCTCTCCTGTCGGACAATGTTTGCACAATGTGTCAAGTCTTTGGCTTGTATGCACTGGCGAAATAAACCGCCAAACGAAACAGTACTCTCGGTTTTCTTGTCTTTTGTTGGATAGAGCTTTTTCGCCCTTAAAGGGAGATTGTAGGTTCACCGATAACGGGGATATTGCTTGAAGACAAGAATTCCTGACAGGATGTCTACTTATTGTTTCTTTCTACGTTCATACGTTATCTTTCTTTCTTACCCGTTCTCAGCCCCAAGTCGTAAACTATATCATAACTTTAGTTATGAAATGCCATCATCAATTGCGAAAAAACAAGTAGTATTTTGAGGAAAGCGAAACAATACGGTGGCGGAATAATGAGAATGTCTTACCACGTTGGGTACCATCTTGATTAACTTCGTTTTTCTCCTTGACATATAACTCAGAAAGAGTCAGCATCTCCGAATTTGGCGGTTTTCTTGCATTTCAGAAACTATTGAGTAACCGGTTTTCACTTTTCTTGCTGCCGACCTTAGCCATGATCTTTACAACAAGACATTCCTTTGGGAAGGAAATGCAGTTATTTTGGAAATGAAGACAGACAAGGCATTCAATGTTCAAATTTATGTGAGATAGATTTTGTTCCCTCCTTTTGATGGAAATTCATGGGTGGTCGCTCTTTTTTGTTAACTTAGTACAAAACTCAATAAATCAGTCAATTAACCTTTTCCTGATTTGTCGGCTGTGTGTAAACGCATAAAAAAATGTTTTTGCGGCCTTTTTGTCAGTACCATCTCGGGCCATTTAAAAGTATCTTGTTACTTTCAAACGATAAAGATCATAGCCTACTACTTTCTATAATAAGTCATCTGTCGTCGTCTGAATAAACATCTCAAGTTAATTCATTTTCGTGACCGTTTTCTTGTAACAAAAAATCAGCGGCCGCAAAAAGATTGTTGCTTTTTGTTTCTGATTCTTTTGAAGTATGCGCTTCATCAGACCGACAGATCTGTTTTTACAATCGTTCATGGTATGGTTTCCGACTGAAACCATCAAACAAATGAAGACATTTGTCCTTGTGCTGTACTTATAGAGAGGAAATATGTCACCACGAAATGATGAACCGTTTGCTAAAAATAACATTGATATTTACCGAAAAATCAAGGGCTTTCATGTTTGAATTTTCTTCCATTTCCTGAAAGATATGAAGTGCTAGGTTTAGAGAAATTTCAAAAACCGTCGGTTCTCTTTTCTAAAACAAGGCCTCTATCACTAATAGTATAACTGCTTCTCTTTAAAATAATTTTCGTCTATCAGAGGTAGATCCCCTAACAATTCATTGTTGGTACGTATCAGTTTTTCTGAAGACAGGCACTGTATTACTAAGATGAGTCTAGGGAGTATTTTGGAGTGCCTTGAGCCCAACATCTGCATTCACTCTCAATTTCACAATAATCTATTCTTTTTCTTTTTCCAAGTTCGGACTGTTTCGTGAGCCAGTTTTGGACATCATTCATCACTTATTTCCTTCTGTTATCACATTTCTGTGGTGTTTGGCTAGTCTTTGTCAAGAGCATTGTTATCACTTACTTACAAGTAATACTAATTTGCTTCCTGAGCCATAACTTAAAAACATGTCGGCTTCAAACACCGTCAAGTGCAGAAAAGCGTCATTTTATCTTCACATTCTTCACAATTTTGTACTAACATTTCACTGTGTAATCACTGTATCACCAATCAGTATTCAGCATCCTCGCCACCGTCCACCTTGAGGTAACCCAGGATTCTATCATCCATCAAGATTGCGCTGCATCTCAAGAGTTCATTGAGGTACCAAGCTCATCATAACCTGACAATGTTGGAGTTTGCCTTGTCAGTGGACACCAATATCGTGTTGACTCATTTCCACAATTTCACTTGCACTGTGGTACTCATGGTTCACTATGTAAACCATTGTCAATTATGTTTTTCTGTAGAAATAATGCTCAGCTCTAGAGGTTATCTGTTACTTGTTTGCTTCTTTCCCGTTGCAGAAAGAGATCTCACAGATTTCAAGAATTATTGATCACTCGAAATCCCCAAGAACATTCTTGCTGAGAAAATAACCATTTATTATTTTCCTCGTGTTTAGGTCGTTAGGAATAATTATGAAATCCGGTGCAGGTGTCACGGAATTTCGCAGTCTTGTGAGATCAAGACCTGCTGGAAGGAACTTGTCCAGTTCTCCACCATTGGGGAAAAACTCCGCACCATGTATGATAAAGCCGTTAGGGTCAGACTCGACAGAAGGACTGGGCGGCTCCTTAAAGGGGGTAGAAGAACTGAGAACAACCAAAAAGAGATTACCGGTAGACGTAGAAGCACCTCCAGCAAACCGACGATAGGCAATTTGATTTACCTGGAATCTTCACCGAACTATTGCATTAGAAGCAGAAGGCGTGGAACTTTAGGTACCGCTGGTCGAGAATGCAAAGTAGACGCTGCAGAGGATGGCAACTGTTATGAACTATGCTGTAAGCGAGGATTCCTTCCGCACCAAGTTTTAGTTGTAGAAAGATGCGAGTGCAAGTTTCACTGGTGCTGCGAAATTAGATGCAAGGAATGCCGCCGTCAACAGACGAAGTATTTTTGTCTCTAGAAAGGCCACATTCACCAGAAGTCAACCAAGTTGGATTAAAACTCGCCAAAGAAGAGACTAAAGTATTTCAGTATTACATGTGACGAAGATCAGCGAGAGGACGAGAGTTTATTGAATGCGGCAAACATAGTATTCAACTTTATTTAATTTATTCCATATTCGTCTTTTAGAAAAAACAGTTGTAGAAGTGAGATTTAGAACACTTCACTTTCATTGGTGAGGTAAGAGTTACTATCAAAGATATGGTTTTATTAGCAAAACTCTCACCAATTCCCTGCAGAAGCTCATATTACAAAGCCGTGACTGTTTAATCCGCTGGCGGAAAACCTTTTCCTCTGAAGATATCGCTTTCCGAATACTCCATTCAAGGAAAACGCTTCAAAATATCAGAGAACGTCTTGTGGCTATCATTACCATCAAGTTAATTATCATCAATATTGCTGTGATTTTCAACATCCTCATCAATATTACTTTTTAATTTATTATTTTTAATCGTATTATCATTTTCTCTGCTTGTTCTTGTTATTTAATTCCTCGACTACTTTTTCTCATATTTGAAAATAATGACGATACGAAAAGACTAGCCAAGGCAGAAAAAACGTATCACGTTCTAGATTTTAGATTACATAAATTTCAAAGTAAATAGGTAGAAATGTGTTATTTTGACCCAAAGATATAGTTTATCTTGAAGCGAGAGACCCCAGATTTTTATCATTGCCGAGATAGAAGCTGGCAAAGTAATTTAGCTCTGTTCTTGAAGGCGAAGATTTTTTTAAAAACACTGGTAACCTTAAGTTTGCCCGAGGATAAAACCGATGAAAGATATTTTCAGACTGGTTTTGCACTTTTAGTTTCGTTAATTAGGAAAACAGATTCTGTTTAAGCTGAGTTTTGAATTGAAGCCTTCACAGGCACTGATTTAAAGATATTTTAATTCGACCATAGACTGAATGTAAATTTATGCACAAAGTGTCAACTAATATGTATCCTATAAATCACTTTCAATTATATAATGAAAATTTGATCCGCGAGAAACTACTTTGTTTCACAATGTAAAAAGAGCATTGATGAGTTGTTGGTCTTCGCAGACCCATCTTGATTCACGAAAACTTTCTCTAACAAAATTGCTCTGATTCAATTTATCATCGGTCAAAAATGACTTTTCACTTTCTTTTAGGTTTTTTGATTCATGATGATGAATTTACACAAAAGAAAAGAAAATTCAAGTAAATGGAAAAGAAAACCACAATATCAGATGCCAACGTCTATTTCGGGCTTATTTTGAAAATTACACATGGTTATTTTTTTCAACGGCGAGTCAAGGCAGATTAGTTTTCAGGAATTGATCACTAAGAAGAAATATGATAGCATTTTTTTTCGCGGTTTTGTAACTTTTTTTGTTAACTGACCTTAAAATATTTGTTATTTGAGAATACTTTTGCCATTTCCGCAAGGAAAACTGGTTGATGATCACCAACCAGTTGTCGATTCCTTAAAACTTTAGTTTCTTTGAATTATCTTCCCTTTCGATTCCTTTTACCCCATCTCCTTCCTTCCCTGAACTCACCTTGTTTTTGTTTCCCCACTTATTGTTTCCCTGTAATCTCATCTCCAATCCCCCTACTGTCGCCCTTTTCTTCTTTTTCTTCATTTCTTCCTTCGTTTTCGTTAACCTATACTTCCTGTCTATTTCTTTTGCATTTTGTTTATTTTTTCCTATCAAATTCCATGTTTTGATTATCATCCTCACATTTCCTGTATATCTCTTTCTTCTCTTTCCTCTTTCTTTGCACTCTTGCATTCTCTTCTTCCCCTCCCCACACTTCCCTTTCTTTTATTTCCTTCTTTCAATTTCCTTCCATCAACTTTTTCTTCACTTCCACCATTTCCTTTGTGTTTAAAGAAGGAAGTCGTAAGCCCGTTATAGATGGACGATTTTTCTTCTCGCAGAGGAAAGGGTTCTTAAAAATGGTTAAGAAAACTTGGACTAAATCCTTACCCTTGCTTCCTAGAGATTCACAGCTGGTTAGTGATGAGTTTCAATCGCACGCTTTTTCATTCTCCAGGCTCCTTACAAACAAAACCGCATTTTTACTTGTCAACAAGTATGGCAATATGTTTTAGTCATGTTCTGCATCACTTTGTAATATGTATATTTCTTAATCAATAAAGAGTTCGAATCTAACGTAACTTATTTGTCAGAGTGTTGAGATATCTTTTCAAACCTTAACAATGTTATCCCAAAACCCTTATTTTGCTTTTAAGGCAACAATACGTTACAGCGTTCAAGAATGATACTGCAATTTATGCCGCAAGGAAAACGTGAACTTTTAACCTGCCAATTAACATACGCACCACGTTTCCAGTATCACTTTTAATTAGTAACAGTCCCTATAACCTGCTATGTGACAATCTTTAACTGTCATATCTTTTTTATATCTTCCCTCCCAGGTGGTAATAAAGGAAGCTAAGGTAGTCTGTGCGTGTCACGGGATGTCAGGATCGTGCAACATGAGAACATGTCAGCGAGTGCTGTCAGAATTCCGGAAAATCGGTGACATACTTCACGTGAAATACGACAATGCCGTCCGTGTTAAAATGGAGCGGAAAGACACCGTGGAAGTTCTGAGCATCGTCAAGAAGAAGAGAAATGGCGAATATCGTCGAGATAACCGTAGATTGAGGAGCACCAATAAAGAAGCTGGGAAAGAAAGCTTGGTGTTCACTAGGGAATCTCCCGATTACTGCGATAAAAGCTCTGATTTTCCCGGTACATTGGGACGGCAGTGTAGCGCGGAGTCATACAGTTCTGATAGCTGTGAACAGTTATGCTGTGGACGTGGATTTCAGAAGACTCAGGTCAGAGTGAAGAAGAAGTGTGAATGCAAATTTCACTGGTGCTGTGAGATTCGTTGCAAGCAGTGTGAACACCTCGAGACGCGACACACGTGTACATAAAGGTTACCGGAGCGTGTCGTCCATTGAAAGAACCAAAAAAACTATATCATCTGCCAAGAACAATACGGTGAACAGGCTTTGTATGTTCTGCTACTTGCTTGCAGCCGAAGAATGCTAATGACACTAGGTATGCAGTTTTTTAATGCATCGTTATTTTAAGTTATCATAGAGTCAAGAGAACGGGCTCGTAGTTATTAAGTATTTGTGTGCTGCAAATAGATGAATAGTACTAATAATAATTTCAACGTCTCATGACATTTGGTAGTTTACTTAATGAGTAATTTTCAAGTGAGTGTCGAAAGTGACCAAGGACTGCTTTAATTTCTATTTACTTTCCTTCGCCAATTAATTGATCAAGAAAGCTTGCGCAATCTTTTCAACCGATCAGATTCTCAAACCAATCGCGACTTGCTCTATCGCTTTTTCCCCGCCCTTAAAAAAACTTTGCTTGTCTTGACTTTGAGTTCTCATTGGCCATTTATGTTAACCGTTGCTATGATTCGCCGGTGTGTTTATCTAAGCTTCGGTTTTGCGCATGGTCACTCACTTGAAATGCGTTCTTAAGTAAACACATGGGTTTAGGGGACAAACTTAAAATAAACAGAGCACGATGTGCTTGTCATAAAATGTCTCTTAGCTTATTAAGGCTCCATAGTGTGTTTTAAATCAATATTTGGACCCCTCCGTCGATGAGATTCCTTTATCTGCTCTTGGTTTTCAACTGGACACTAGTTACATCAGTGTACCTCTTTTATAGAATTTGTTGATCTGATATTCCTGTTTCATTCATTGGAATATTTTAGTTAAAGGTTATTACAAACCAAATCCCTTTATGTATGTATGTATATATATATATATATACATAAAGATATATATATATATATATATATATATATAACACCAAAAAGGGATATGAAAGGGATATGAAAGATATGTATATATATATATATATATATATACATATACAGTTTACATAGACTAAAAGGTCTCTCATAGACTCTTTCAAAAATGGCTGATGAAAATTCAGACTCAAACTTATTTGGAAAGCTATACCAATTGTGTCAGCCAGGGAAATGGATTTGCAATTTATATGGCTTGCATTCATTTTTATTGTCAGTGAAATAAGCTTTAACCCAAGTCATATGAAACATCTTTCATTTCACTGATATCACCCGTAATTCGGATCATGTCCTTTCTTTGTTATGGGGTTTACACTGGGTTCCTGCCCATATCACTTCGGAGAAATTTTCAAACGGAATTTTCACTCTGAAATGAATGAGGTTTTTCTAGCCCTCTTTAATTAATGGTATGACAGCCCTGAAATAAGATTGAGTTTCAAATTTCTCCGACGCAGTACTGACGGAGTGCTAGTCTTTTTTAAAGTCACTCCTTTAATCGCCAATTTTGAGAAATTTTAGTTCATGATTCCACTTGTAGTCTCCAGTATTTGTTATAGTTTGTTTACAACCTTATTACTTTAAAACGGGAAATTATGTCGCATTTTTCTCGTTCAATACTTTAAATAGAATTTTTGAGTTTGTTAGCTTGTCAAAGAATTACGTATCAGAGTTGAAATATGCAAGGGGGCATAAATTGGAAAGCAGGGAAACATTTCAGGGAAATTGGAAAGGATTTGTCCGGTCTAGGAATTCTTTTTAAGCGATTAGGTATTTTTCCAGACAAGTTTTCGCTGCGAAACTTGTCATGGAAACCTAGCTGACGTAAAGATATCCGAACACCATGGTTCGTATATTTCATCCAAATTGAAAAAAATGCTTTTTATCATGGAGAAACGTCTAACTGAGCCTTTGAGTAAATCGGGCACCTGTTTCATTTTGCGTTATGTGAAATGTTAGAGACAATTTCTTCTTTTGTTCGTCTTGTAAAGCAAATTCCATCTCTTTAGTTTGTTGATGTCAACACGAATTCTCCTCCCATGTGTTAATCAGCTTCCGATTTAATGTTTGATACATTATAAGAATTTTTGTCTGAATGTTAAACTATAATGATGTATACTGGAAAGTTGATAAGGAGGTAAATGTTCCCCCTTCCCTCGCAAACGCAACAGCTTGAGTGTATTTTGCAGTTCTAATAAGCCTTTCATGGCCCAAATGGGCAAAAGTGATGTAGTGCAGGTGAATAATACCATATACAAAAGATTTGAATGAGTGGTGTGTTGCTCATGTAAATACATTATTCTATTGTTTCAATAAAGTTTAGTGTGCCTATTAATTATCTCTGCATGTTGGATTAAGAATCTATTTCGGATGTGCTGTCCACGAAGCTGAGCAGGGCAATGGGGAGTGGGGGGAAGTTGGCTGAGCGATTTTGGTCGAACTCCCTGGACGGTGAAAGCTAACATCAAAACATTTTCAAAACTAATAGTCAATTTAAAAAGCCAGACCGTTTTAAAACCAGTACAAGCTGTGGTGAGTTTACAGGACTAAAAAAAACTACCTGTCAGCTCTTTTTGTATAGCATAGTTTTCTTTAGACTTCGTTCAGGTGTCCATTTTGGACCGGTATCTTGGGGTTCGTCTCATAAGAAGTTGGTTTCGCCTTCTGAAGTGAAGTCTCAATGGACCCTTTCAACTAGTTTCCATACAGCAAAGGTGGTAAGGGACGATCTTGCAGTAGGACAAACGTCCATACTGAAATCTTTCGATTGAGAGCGATAGGTTGACTATCTACAGCACACCACGTACTCAGAGGAGAAAAAATTTCGAAGTGAAAGACAGATTTTCCAAGAGGTTCTCACCTGCAAGTCATCAAGAGTGGATCTTTATCAAAGTCACTTCCCATTTCTCAAACTGACCCTCCGCAACTCAAGGAAAGGGGGGGGATGTGAGACGACGGGGAAAATTTCCAACATGTTTTAAAGAAATGCTCAAAAGGTACCAGAATGGGCGGGGTTTCAACGATCGTGCAACCCCTAAATCATACCTCAGAAATTATTTGAACATGTGAAAGGAAATTAGTACATATCGAATGCTGCCCAAAGGTCATGATGAAGGTTGCAAAATGTGGAGTAATACCGTAAGTTTATTTATTAAATGGATATTTTGAAGTTATCCTTTTCCAGAAAGTGTCCTTAAAAATGTTACCTCTTGGACTTCACGATACTAGTTTGATTCTCCGACACCCACGGCCCCACCCACGAATATCATCATACCAAACCCCTCTGAAAACTAAAAACCAACCCCGGAACCATGTAGCGGTCGTATTTTGTCTGATTTGATTAACAGCTGTTTCATTGGCCGGTTAGTTCTTGACTGAACCATGCGGGTCGCTATTTTCAAAGTTAATTTTCCCCAATTCGTTTCACTGTGGATGAACTCCACTCTAGTGTTCAAAGAACCTGCTGGTGATGCGGTTCGTTTATTCAGAAAGGACAGTAGGCAGTAGGACAGTAGGCAGTAGGACAGTAGGCAGTAGGACAGTAGGCAGTAGGACAGTAGGCAGTAGGACAGTAGGCAGTAGGACAGTAGGCAGTTTCGGTTTTCGTATATTTGATGCCAGGTTCATTTACTTTCATCTCATACTCAAAGTGGCTTACACAACTCCTTTTGTGTTTTCCCTAGTCTCAAAAGCTTTAAATTTCTAACGGTAAACACGTGCACACAAAAATGAAAAACAAAGGCTGAAATTGAACCGTGCGAAAAAGAAAGAGGCTGTGTACCGAATCAAGTAAGCATGGGTCGCCACATGGGTTGCTGCGTCTTTTGGTTCCAGGCAAAGGCCCCACAGAAAGTTTGACTTTGATTTAGATTAGAGCAGCCAAAAACGTACTATATTTCCGATTAAAAGCAGCAGAAAAAAAAACGTGTTGATGGAATTGTTATGATTTATCAAGAATAAACAACAAAGTTATCATAGTTTTGTTTGCGCAACTATTGAATGACCCGTTTATGGACTGATTTGGTACCTGTCGCATCGCGAGTTTTGCGTCGTTCGTCATCAATGTTTAATCACGAAATTTGACCTGGTTGAAAGTTATTCACGGATCGAAATCTCGGGGAGCTAAGTTGTTAAAATGGCACATCTCTTCTGTTTTATCATTTTGATAATTTTTCTCAGTGTTAGCTACGCTATAGAAAGTGAAGCGCCACAAGGCAAAGCGATAGCAAACAAGAGCTTGGAAGCAACATTTCGAAACGGAACCGTGGAGAATGGCACGTCGACAGTGAACTCTACACACATAGCGATACCCTCTTTGATAATGCTTTCCGTTGAGATTATAAAGAAAGGGAATCGCTCCAACAACACAGAAAAAGCACGTGATGGTTCAGAGATTTTTGTTTTGGATGGAAAAACACCTGAAAAAATTTCTTTCTTCCAGCCTCCCAAAGCATCTCCGTATTTCCCAAGATTTAGTGAAATCTCGATGCGGACTCTATACTTGATCGTGTGCATGTGTTTACTGATTCTTCTCCTAATGATCGTCAAACTGCTGGTCTCAAGAAAAGAACGCAAAAAGGATTATGATATGGTTACCAAAGGGGAATTTGACGCTTAAACCGAACGACTGAGACAAAGGATCAGAAGTTAGGAGTTAAAAAAACAGGATTTTCAGGTAAACCGAAGTTCCGGTTGAAAGCCGGTTGGCCCGGCCGAGTGCGTGATTTTGCCACATGCCTTCAAAAGACCAGTCGGGAATTTGTGACTTAGACCGTTAGTGTTAAGAAACGTTTAATCTCTGAACAACTCAACATTGACGTAGTCGTGCATGGATTTAGCAAGGTTCTTACAAAATCAGCATCGCACAATGCCCTTTGTAACATTTCACAGTCAGCCGGGTCACCTTCGCGGTCTTTAATGTAATTTATAAATTTTGTCCAATATATTTAAAAGAAATTGTTTTAAAACAAAACTTAAAATTGCATCTAATACTCAGAATAGAACCAGCTGAGTCAGGTTTGTCTCATTATAAACCAAGTTGCCCTGTTGACTGCACTGAACAGTGTCAGTGGAAACGGTCGAAAACGCGTGAAAATAGCGCGCGAAAACAGGCGAAGACGGCAGTGAAGACGAAAAAAACTGTGTTCTTGGTCTTAAAAATACAGCCCATTCAGGCTTACTGCTCAGTAAATAACATACAGTTATCATTTGACCCGTCCGACCCAGTTCGCGCATTCTCATAGAAAACAATGGTGAACGCTGGACAGGTTGACGTGAGCCGGTCCGCCGTCCGGCCCTAGTGCACTTGGACGGTTGTAAAGAAGAAAAACAAACAAAACATTGGTCGCAGTTGGGGCAAAATAAACGATTGACAGCCGTGAGCACAAGCTGAGAAAATAAGTCAAGTCTCTTGTTTTGGCTCGTAAGAATAACTTGGTTTTCCCGCGCACGCCTGTCTTATTTAACGTATATGTGCACGATCCTTCGCAGTAAAGCACTATTTGAGCAATAGTGAAAATCAGACCTGAAAAAAATTTCAGGCCTGTACGGGATTCGAACCACTGACCTCTGCGATACTAGTGCAGCGCTCTACCAATTGAGCTAACAAGCCAACTGGGAGCAGGCCATCAAATTAATTCGACATAAACCCGTAGATGATAAATCAAACAACAACAAACATATGAAACATATGTATGAACTGCGGTTATGAAACGTATATGTGCACGATCCTTCGCAGTAAAGCACTATTTGAGCAATAGTGAAAATCAGACCTGAAAAAAATTTCAGGCCTGTACGGGATTCGAACCACTGACCTCTGCGATACTAGTGCAGCGCTCTACCAATTGAGCTAACAAGCCAACTGGGAGCAGGCCATCAAATTAATTCGACATAAACCCGTAGATGATAAATCAAACAACAACAAACATATGAAACATATGT